TTTCTCCACATCCTCTCCAGCATCTGTTGTCTCCAGATTTTTTGATGATCACCATTCTAACTGGCAAGAGATGGTATCTTAATGTGGTTTTGATTTGCATTTCTCTAATGACGAGTGATGATGAGCATTTTTTCATGTTTGTTGGCCTCATGTATGTCTTCTTTTGAAAAGTGTCTGTTCATATCCTTCACCCACTTTTGAATGGGTTTGTTTTTCTTCTTGTAAATCTGTTTTAGTTCTTTGTAGATTCTGGATATTAGCCCTTTGTCAGATGGGTAGACTGCAAATTTTTTTTCCCGTTCTGTTGGTTGCCAGTTCACTCTAATGATTGTTTCTTTTGCTGTACAGAAGCTCTGGAGTTTAATTAGATCCTATTTGTCTATTTTGGCTTTTGTTGCCAATGCTTTTGGTGTTTTAGTCATGAAGTCCTGTGCCTTTGCCTATGTCCTGAATGGTTTTGCCTAGGTTTTCTTCTAGGATTTCTATGGTGTTAGGTCTTATGTTTAAGTCTTTAATCCATCTGGAGTTAATTTTAGCGTAAGGTGTCAGGAGGGGGTCCAGTTTCTGCTTTCTGCACATGGCTAGACAGTTTTCTCAACACCATTTATTAAATAGGGAATCGTTTTTCCATTGCTTGTGTTTGTAAGGATTGTCAAAGATCAGATGGTCGTAGATGTGTGGTGTTGCCTCCGAGGCCTATGTTCTGTTCCATTGGTCTATATCTCTGTTTTGGTACCAGTACCATGCTGTTTTGATTACTGTAGCCTTGTAGTATAGTTTGAAGTCAGGCAGCATGATGGCCCCAGCTTTGTTCTTTTTGCTTAGGATTGTCTTGGCTATGAGGGCTCTTTTTTGGTTGCATATGAAGTTTAAGGTGGTATTTTTCCAGTTCTGTGAAGAAGGTCATTGGTAGCTTGATGGGGATAGTGTTGAATCTGTAAATTACTTTGGGCAGTATGGCCATTTTCACGATATTGATTCTTCCTAACTATGAACATGGAATGTTTCTCCATCTGTTTGTGTCCTCTCTTATTTCTTTGAGCAGTGGTTTGTAGTTCTCCTTGAGGAGGCCCTTTACGTCCTTTGTTACTTGTATTCCTAGGTATTTTATTCTCTTTGTACCAATTGTGAATGGGAGTTGGCTCATGATTTGGCTCTCTGTTAGTCTGTTACTGGTATATAGGAATGCTTGTGATTTCTGCACATTGATTTTGTATCCTGAGACTTTGCTGAAGTTGCTTATCAGTTTCAGGAGATTTTGAGCTGAGATGATAGGGTCTTCTAAATATACAATCATGTCATCTGCAAATCAGGATAATTTGACTTCCTCCTTTCCTAATTGAATACGGTTTCTTTTTTTTTCTTGCCTGATTGCTTTGGCTAGAACTTCCAATACTATATTGAATAGTAGTAGTGAGAGAGGGCATCCTTGTCTAGTGCCAGATTTCAAAGGGAATGCCTCCAGTTTTTGCCCATTCAGTATGATAATAGCTGTAGGTTTGTCGTGAATAGCTTTTATTATTTTGAGATATGTTCCATGGATACCTAGTTTATAGAGAGTTTTTAGCATAAAGGGCTGTTAATTTTGTTGAGGGCCTTCTCCACATCTGCCAAGACAATCATGTGGTTTTTGTCTTTGCTTCTGTTTATGTGGTGGATTACATTTATAGACTTGCGTATGTTGAACCAGCCTTGTATCCCTGGGAGGAAGCCTAATTGATCGTGATGCATAAGCTTTTTGATGTGCTGTTGCAATCGGCTTGCCAGTATTTTATTGAAGATTTTTGCATCTGTGTTCACCATGGATATTAGCCTGATGTTTTCTTTTCTTGTTGAGTCTCTGCCAGGGTTTGGTATCAGGATGATGTTGGTCTCATACAATGATTTGGGAAGGATTCCCTCTTTTTTGATTGTTTGGAATAGTTTCAGAAGGAATCGTACGAGCTCCTGTTTGTACATCTGGTAGAATTTGGCTGTGAACCCATCTAGACTTGGACTTTTTTTGGTTTGTAGGCTATTAATTGCTTCCTCAACCTCAACCCTTGTTATTGGTCTGTGCAAGGTTTCAGCTTCTTCCTGGTTTAGGCTTGGGAGGGTGCAAGTGTCCAAGAGTTTATCCATTTATTCCAGGTTTACTGGTTTATGTGCATAGAGTTGTTTATAGTAATCTCTGATGGTAGTTTGTATTTCTGTGGAATCTGGTGGTAATGTCCCATTTTTCGTTTTTTATTGCATCTATTTGATTCTTCTCTCTTTTCTTTTTCATTAATCTGGCTGCTAGTGTTCTGTTTTGTTGATCTTTTCAAAAAACCAGCTGCTGGATTTATTGATTTTTTTGAAGGGTTTTTTTTCTTGTGTGTGTGTGTCTCTATCTTCTTCAGTTCTGCTCTGATCGTAGTTATTTCTTGTCTTCTTCTAGGCTTTTTGGTTCTTTGACCTTGCTTCTCTAGCTCTTTCAATTTTGACGATAGGGTGTCGATTTTAGATCCTTCCTTGCTTCTCATGTGGGCATATATTGTTATAAGTTTTCCTCTAGACGCTGCTTTAAATGTGTCCCAGAGATTCTGGTACATTGTGTCTTCATTCTCGTTGGTTTTGAAGAACATTTTTATTTCTGCCTTTATTTCATTGTTTATCCAGTTGACATTCAGGAGCTAGTTGTTCAGTTTCCATGAAGTTGTGTGATTCTGAGTTAGTTTCTCAATCCTGAGTTCTAATTTGATTGCCCTGTGGTCTAAAAGACTGTTTGTTATTGTTTCTGTTCTTTTGCATTTGCTGAGGAGTGATTTACTTCTAATTGTGTGGTCAGTTTTAGAGTAGGTGTGATGTGGTGCTGAGAAGAATGTATATTCTGTGGATTTAGGGTGGAGAGTTCTGTAAATGTCTATTAGGTCCACTTGGTCCAGATCTGAGTTGGAGTCCTGGATATCCTTGTTGATTTTCCGTCTTGTTGATTTGTCTAATATTGACAGTGGAGTGTTGAAGTCTCCCACTATTGTGTGGGAGTCTAAGTCTCTTTGTAGGTTGTTAAGAACTTGCTTTATGTATCTGGGTGCTCCTGTATTGGGTGCATATATATTTAGAATAGTTAGCTCTTCTTGTTGCATTGATCCTTTTACCATTATGTAATGCCCTTCTTTGTCTCTTTTGATCTTTGCTGGTTTAAAGTCCCATTTTATCAGAGACTAGGATTGCTACTCCTGCTTTTTTTTTTTTTTGCTCTTTGTTTGCTTGATAAATCTTCCTCCATCCCTTTATTTTGAGCCTGTGTGTGTGTCCTTGCACATGAGATGGGTTTCCTGAATACAGCACACCGATGGGTTTTGTCTTTTTATCCAATTTGCCAATCTGTGTCTCTTGATTGGGGCATTTAGCCAATTTACATTTAGGATTAATATTGTTATGTGTGAATTTGATCCTGCCATTTTGATGCTAGCTGGATGTTTTGGCAGTTTACGCCTTTTCTTCATTGTGTCAATGTTCTTTACTATTTGGTACATTTTTGGAGTGGCTGGTACTGGCTGTTCCTTTCCTTGTTTCGTGCTTCTTTCAGGAGCTCTTGTAAGGCAGGCTTGGTGGTGACGAAGTCTCTCAGCGATTGCTTGTCTGTAAAGGAATTTATTTCTCCTTCACTTATGAAGCCTAGTTTGGCTTGTAAGGGTTATTGCCGAGTTTAAAATGAGGAAACTGAGGCTAGTATAAGAAAATTAAATGCCAATTTATTCAGGTCCCTGGTCTGGGAAAAGGGGGCCAGAGAAGTTGTGCTGACTTCCTGGGGCCGGGGTTTTTATGGCTAGGAGGAACGAGCAACAGCTGGGTGCTCTGATTGGGTCCAGGGAAGCAGGATTGAGACGGGGCCGGCCGCTATTGGTTGGCGGGTTGTTGGGCAGGTTTTCCAGTGCAAGAGCTGGCCAGGGTTGCATTAGCCGGAGCCTTCCAGGGAGCCATGCGGCAGAGCTAGGTGCCGAGAGCAGAACCTGGTGCCAGGTGCAGAGGTGGGTATGTCTGGCCTCCTGGCGAGGCAGCCAGCCTTACATGACTGGATATGAAATTCTAGGTTGAAAGTTCGTTTCTTTACGGATATTGAATATTGGCCCCCACTCTCTTCTGGCTTGTGGGTTTCTGCCAAGAAATCTGCTGTGAGTCTGATGGGCTTCCCTTTGTGGGTAACCTGACATCTCTCTCTGGCTGTCCTTAGCACTTTTTCCTTCGTTTCAACCCTGGTGAGCCTGATGATTATGTGCCTTGGGGTTGCTCTTCTTGAGGAACATCTTTGTGGTGTTCTCTGTATTTCCTGGACTTGAGTGGTGGCCTGCCTTGCTAGGTTGGGGAAGTTTTCTCCTGGTAATATTCTGAAGAGTGTTTTCCAAGTTGGATTCATTCTCTCTGTCACATTCAGGTACACCTATCAAACGTAGATTAGGTCTTTTCACATAATCCCATATTTCTCGGAGGCTTTGTTAATTTCTTTTCACCCTTTTTTTCTCTAATCTTGCCTTCTCATTTTATTTCATTGAGTTGATCTTCAGTCTTTGATATCCTTTCTCCTGCTTGGTCAATTAGGATATTGAAACTTGTGTATGCTTCGCAAAGTGGTGCTGTGTTTTTCAGCTCTATCAAGTCGTTTATATTTTTCTCTAAGCTGTTTATTCTAATTAGCATTTCATCTAACCTTTTTTCACGGTTCTTAGTTTCTTTGCATTAGGTTAGCAGATGTTCTTTTAGCTCTGAGAGGTTTGCTGTTATCCACCTTCTGCCTGTTTCTGTCAATTCATCAGATTCTTTCTCCATCCAGCTTTGTTTCCTAGCTGTTAGGAGTTGTGATTCCTTGGAGGAGGAGAAGCATTCTGGTTTTTGGTGTCTTCATCCTTTTTGTGCTGGTTTCTTCCCATCTTCATGGCTTTATCTACCTGTAGTCTTTGTAGTTGGTGACTTTCAAATGGGGTTTCTGAGTGGACGTCCTTTTTGTTGATGTTGAAGCTATTTCTTTCTTAGTTTTCCTTCTAACAGCCAGGCCCTTCTGCTGCAGGACTGCTGGAAGTCCACTCCAGACTCTGCTTGCCTGGGGATCACCCGCGGGGGCTGCATAACAGTAAGGGGCTCCTGGTTTCTCCTTCTGTTGTCTTCGTCCCAGAAGAGTACCTGCCAGATGTCAGCCTGAGCCTTCCTTTATGAAATATCGCTTTTGATATACAGGAGTCGGGGAGCTGCTTGAGGAGACAGTCTATCCCTTATAGGAGCTCAAGTGCTGTGCTGGGAGCTCCGTTATTCCATGCAGAGCTGCTGGGCAGGTACGTTTAAGTCTGCTGCAGCGGGACTTATAAGTGCCTCTTTTCCGAGGTGCTCTGTCCTAGGAAGGTTGGGCTTTATTTATAAGTTCCTGATGTGCTGCTGCTTTTTTTCATAGATGCCCTGTCCCACACAGAGATAGTCTAGTCACAGTGTGCCAGCAGAGGTGTTGCTGAGCTGCTGCAGGTTCTGCCCAGCTGCTGTGTGAACTTCCTTGAGGTGTTGTTTTTAGAGGTACCATTAGAACTGCCTTTGTATTGGCAAACTGGCTCGGTAATGGCAGATGCCCTTCCCCCAACCAGGCTGGACCATCCTGGGTCCAGCTGCACTTGCTGCGAAACTCTCAATCCAGAGCATTTCAGATTGCTTGTTTTGTAGGGGTGGTACCTGCTGAGCCAGATCACCTGGCTCCCTGTCTCGGCCCCCTCCCTCTCAGTTGAATTGGTGGCTCTGTCTCCTAGGCTTTCCAGGCGCCAGTTGAAATAACCGCCTGGATTTGTGTGAGTTTCTGTGCACTGACCCGCGGCTCCGGCTGAAGCAGCCATGCCGCAAACTTGTGACACTTTTCTGCCCGGGAATGTCCTTGTCCGTGGGCAGTGAAAACTCATTGGGAAATGCTGTGATCACTCACCCTCTTTGTTCTTGCTGGGAACTGCACTCCAGAGCTGTTCCTGTTCAGCCATCTTTGAGTCATTATCTCTTGACCCGTGTTCAAATTCACCATTGTCTGTAAGCTGTTAATCCCATCTGAATAATTTATTGCAGACTTTATATTTTTTCAATTTTGGAATTTCCATATGATTGTTGTTAAATACACTTTTTCTTTGTTGTGATTTTCTACTTGTTTACTCTTTAGGAGCATGTTTTTCTTTAAGATGTTCTAAAGCTGCTCTGAAATTCTCATTTCTTAATTCTGATGTTTGGTCATTTCAGGGCTAGTCTTCACTGATGATTTTCTTTCTTGGGTATGGACCTTGTGTTTTGTTTCTTCATATGTTTAGAAATTTGGATCATCTTCATTTTTTTAAAGTGATTCATTGTAGAGAGGCAGGATTCTGTTATGTTCTTCTGAAGAGTACTGTTTTTTTGTTTGGTGCTGTTTTAACTGGTAGCTAACTTGACTGAAGTCAAACTCCAGAATCTATCTTTCTGGCAGTGGGGAGCTGCTGTGGTCTTTGTTCCATTCTGTTAGTAGATTTAGGTTTGGGCATGATAGGTTAGGTGTCAGAATGAGATCATACACAGATTCAACCCCTTCTGTGGCACCCTTCTTTCTAAGTTTCTGTTTCTCACTTTTCAGCTGCTGTGGTCACCCTAACCTCTGACGTCTGCTTCTTTGTGTCTGGGAGTCTGGGAGTTTTGTATTTGAGTTTTACCAGCCATGGCAGAACTTTATACACTCACACATCCAGAATGGAAATCAAAATTACAGAAATGGAAATTCTGTGTATTAAAGGATCGTGGGGGTTCAGCAGACCACCTCAAATTAGATGATTTATTAGGAGGACTCCCAGGACTCAGGATATGATCCTTTCCTGGCTGTGATTTGTGATAGCAAAAGTACAGAGCACAGTCAGCAGTGAGAAGAAGCACTGGGGTGCATCCAGAGCAGACCAGGCTCAGCCTCGCCTCTGGAGACTTTCTGCTTTAATCTCTTTGTGCAGCCAATGAATGAAGGAACCTAAAGCCTATATCTTTTCTGCTTCAAAATCAATTGTATGAAAGTATGATGTATGTTTCATGAAAGCTTTCCCATGTGATTTTCTAAGTATGTGTCATAAGCATGTGGTTCACACACACTGGACAAGCCTGTCATCTTCATGGCTTTAAGGAAGGCAACACTTAGGTTAGGTTATAGTGATTGTTACCTGCTCTAGCAAAAACATGTAAACAGATCTGGGAATTTATTAAACTGTCTTATAAAACTTATGAGGAATTGTGATGATTCCTGAATTCCCTCTGAATACTTAGATATCCAGGTGACTTCAAGATTTTCCTAAACAGGCTCCACCTCTACCATTGGAGCCCCACAGACAGGCCCTGGGGCTGCAAGTTGTGAGCGTCTCCCGCATGGTTTCGACTCACACCTGCTGCAAAAGCATGCTCGGTCGAGCTTAAAAACGATTTCTTTATTTAGTGACATTCTACTTTATAGTGTTGGCACACAAAAATCTAAGAAAATCAATGATTACTTTTGGTAAATAATATATGACAAATATTAATTAGCAAATGAAAAATTTCTAAGTACTTTTACTAAATTATAACATTATAATCAATTCACATGTTCTGTATTCCAGGACCTTTTTTCTATCAGTGCTTACGTTTATGCGCAGAAACCACAACTGGATATTCACAGTTTTGAAGGCACATTTACCAGGGTAAGTTAAACTGTTGTTCAATACAAATATAGTTATTGTGTAAGTTAAAAGTAGCAAACTTTTATTTGAGACAGTAATTCAATGAAGAATAAATTCAAACAGACGTTTCAAACTAGGGAGGGAAAACCTATGTAATGTTTGAAGTTCTTAAGTGTATCTGTATTAAATATATCTTTGGGATACATTTATTACAGTTTTTGGAATTTTCTTTAGCATATTTACTAATAAGATCCTTATCTCCTAAAATAATATGAGTGACTTAAATGAAATAATTTATTTCCATTTTGACTGAATAATTGGTATACTATGATATCGACATCATGTCTAGCCTTCTGCTATCTGAGTTGGGTGGGTATTTGTATGTATGTGAGTCTATACATGTGTGTTATGTTTCTTTATACACGTATGTATATTTCATGCCACCTACTTTTGTATTATTATAGAGTTTTGTTAAAGCTGGAAGCACTCTGCCCCTGATTGATAGGGCTTGAGAAACTCATTAACTCTTTATTTTAATGGCTTATAACCGATATTATAAATGCTTTATAGTAAAGGATTTTAGTATATGACTATAGTTTATTTTTAATTGCTGCAGCTATTATTTTAGTTAGGCAAAAAATTTTTTTAGGTGCATTCACCTTTGTTTCGCTCTTAGTCACTTGCAGGGGCTAGCAAGCAGTTGTGATCACTTGCAGAAGCATTTACAGAGCTTATCTAGTGTGACAGTTAATGTGCACACTGTGGGAATGTGAAGTGAGGGCACCTGTGAGGCCGTGAGAGTCCTGCGGACTGCTGGGCCTTTATAGCTGCTCATGTCATAGGTGCGGTACACAAGCATGTGTAAGAGCTTAATGGAGGGACAGCGAAGGAAGCGTATCCTGGTGATAAGCATCATGGAATGAATTCTGAAACAAACTCATATCTTTTCTTATTTAAACAAAAATAGTTATTATAAAAACAGTATGTTTTTTTCTTTTTTATTGCATTTTAGGTTTTGGGGTACATGTGAAGAACATGCAAGATTGTTGCATAGGTACACACCTGGCAGTGTGATCTGCTGCCTTCCTCCCCATCACCTATATATGGCATTTCTCCCCATGCTATCCCTCCCCAACTCCCCACCCCCCCGCTGTCCCTCCCCTGTTTCCCCCCAACAAACCCCAGTGTGTAGTGCTCCCCTCCCTGTGTCCATGTGTTCTCATTGTTCAACACCCGCCTACGAGTAAGAACATGTGGTGTTTGATTTTCTGCTCTTGTGTCAGTTTGCTGAGAATGATGCTTTCCAGGTTCATCCATATCCCTACAAAGGACACAAACTCATCATTTTTGATGGCTGCATAATATTCCATGGTGTATATGTGCCACATTTTCCCTTTCCAGTCTATCATCGATGGGCACTTGGGTTGGTTTCAGGTCTTTGCTATTGTAAACTGTGCTGCAGTGAACATTCGTGTGCATGTGTCCTTATAGTAGAACGATTTATAATCCTTTGGATACATACCCAGTAATGGGATTGCTGGGTCAAATGGAATTTCTATTCCTAGGTCCTTGAGGAATCACCACACTGTCTTCCACAATGGTTGAACTAATTTACACTCCCACCAACAGTGTAAAAGTGTTCCTATTTCTCCACATCCTCTCCAGCATCTGTTGTCTCCAGATTTTTTAATGATTGCCATTCTAACTGGCGTGAGGTGGCATCTCAATGTAGTTTTGATTTGCATTTCTCTAATGACCAGTGATGATGAGCATTTGTTCATATGTTTGTTGGCCTCATGTATGTCTTCTTTTGTAGAGTGTCTGTTCATATCCTTCGCCCACTTTTGAATGGGTTTGTTTGTTTTTTTCTTATAGATCTGTTTTAGTTCTTTGTAAATTCTGGATATCAGCCCTTTGTCAGATGGGTAGACTGCAAAAATTTTTTCCCATTCTGTTGGTTGCCGATTCACTCTAATGACTGTTTCTTTTGCCGTGCGGAAGCTGTGGAGTTTGATTAGGTCCCATTTATCTATTTTGGCTTTTGTTGCCAATGCTTTTGGTGTTTTGGTCATGAAGTCCTTGCCTACGCCTATGTCCTGAATGGTTTTGCCTAGATTTTCTTCCAGGGTTTTTATGGTATTAGGTCTTATGTTTAAGTCTTTATTCCATCTGGAGTTAATTTTAGTATAAGGTGTCAGGAAGGGGTCCAGTTTCTGCTTTCTGCACATGGCTAGCCAGTTTTACCAACACCATTTATTAAACAGGGAATCCTTCCCCCATTGCTTATTTTTGTCAGATTTGTCAAAGATCAGATGGTTGTAGATATGTTGTATTGCCTCCAAGGCCTCTGTTCTGTTGCATTGGTCTATATCACTGTTTTGGTATCAGACTATGCTGTTTTGATTACTGTAGCCTTGTAGTATAGTTTGAAGTCCGGTAGTGTGATGCCTTCTGCTTTGTTCTTTTTGCTTAGAATTGACTTGGCTATGACAGCTCTCTTTTGGTTCCATATGAAGTTTAAGGTGGTTTTTTCCAGTTCTGTGAAGAAGGTCATTGGTAGCTTGACGAGAATAGTGTTGAATCTGTAAATTACTTTGGGCAGTATGGCCATTTTCACGATATTGGTTCTTCCTAACCATGAACATGGAATGTTTCTGCATCTGTTTGTGTCCTCTCTTATTTCGTTGATCAGTGGCTTGTAGTTCTCCTTGAAGAGGTCCTTTATGTTCCTTGTTAGTTGTATTCCTAGGTATTTTATTCTCTTTGTGGCAATTGTGAATGGCAGTTTGTTCTTGATTTGGCTCTCTTAAAGTCTGTAATGGGTGTACAGGAATGCATGTGATTTTTGCACATTGATTTTGTATCCTGAGTCTTTGCTGAACTTGCTGATCAGTTTCAGTTTCAGGAGATTTGGGGCTGAGACGATGGGGTCTTCTAAATATACAATCATGTCGTCTGCAAATAGAGACAATTTGACTTCCTCCTTTCCTATTTGAATACCCTTTATTTCTTTTTCTTGCCTGATTGCTCTGGCTAGAACTTCCAGTACTATATTGAATAGGAGTGGTGAGGGCAGGCATCCTTGTCTAGTGCCAGATTTCAAAGGGAATGCTTCCAGTTTTTGACCATTCAGTGTGATATTGGCTGTAGGTTTGTCGTAAATAGCTTTTATTATTTTGAGATATGTTCCGTCAATACCTTGTTTGTTGAGGGTTTTTAGCATAAAGGGCTGTTGAATTTTGTCAAAGGCCTTCTCTGCATCAATTGAGATAATCATGTGGTTTTTGTCTTTGAATGTGACAAAGAGAATGAATCCAAGCTGGAAAATACTCTTCAGAATATTATCCAGGAAAACTTCCCCAACCTAGCAAGGCAGGCCAATATTCAAGTCCAGGAAATACAGAGACCACCACAAAGATACTCCTAAAGAAGAGCAACCCCAAGGCACATAATCGTCAGATTCACCAGGGTGGAAATGAAAGAGAAAATACTAAGGGCAGCCAGAGAGAAAGGTCGGGTTACCCACAAAGGGAAGCCCATCAGACTCACAGCAGATCTCTCAGCAGAAACCCTACAAGCCAGAAGAGAGTGGGGGCCAATATTCAACATCCTAAAGTTCTTAAAGAAAAGAACTTTCAACCCAGAATCTCCTATCCAGCCAAACTAAGCTTCATAAGTGAAGGAATAATAAAATCCTTTGCGAACAAGCAAGTACTCAGTGATTTCTTCACCACCAGACCTGCTTTACAAGAGCTCCTGAAAGAGGCTCTACACATATAATGGAACAACCAGTACCAGCCAGTCCAAAAACATACCAAATGGTAAAGAGCATCAACACAATCAAGAATCTGCATCAACTAACGAACAAAACAGCCAGCTAGCATCAAAATGGCAGTATCAAATTCACACATAACAATATTATCCCTAAATGTAAATGGACTAAATGCCCCAATCAAAAGACACAGACTGGCAAATTGGATAAAAAGCCAAAATCCATCAGTGTGCTGTATCCAGGAAACCCATCTCACATGCAAGGATACACGAAGGCTCA